ATGTCTGGACAAACGCATTGCCGAATTGAATGCCGAAAATAAGACAATCATTAACTCTATGGCAATGTTTGCCTGTTTTTTGGCCAACAATACGTTGACCGCCTGTCCGGACGCCTTCGACGACTACGTCCAGCACTTGATGGCCATTGAATCGCGCGGTACTGACCGTCACAGTCGGGCAACTGTCGCCTGGTTTGAGCAGTTGTTGCATAATTACCGACAAACAAAATTGGCCATTATGAATAAGCAACCCGACGGGGCTATAATTACCGTTGTGAATGTCAATGCGTGTATTGAAAATTTATATAAGATGAAATTTAATGGTCATTTATTTTGCAAAATGCTAAATTCTGAGCAAATGTCCAAGGTGAGACACCATATGGACACCAACGAGATAGAATACAGTGATCTGCCTAATAGAAGATGCAGTTTAACTAAATTTTTAAATCCACTAACTAGTAAGTTAGCATAAATAGTTGTCTAGATTTTATTTCTTTAGTTTAATTGATTAATGAATAAAATAAATATTTTTTTTTTAAACTAACAGATCCCAGAGTGAGCACCGATAATATTAAACGCGTCAACAGAACTCGTGTCAAATATGTTTGAAAGATTTGAATTTTAATTTAAATAAATCTTTAAACAAAATCAAATAAAATGTCCTCAATTTATTACAATTTCTTTATTTTATAATAAATTTTGAAATAAAAAATAACAGATTTTGTAAAGAACAATAAAATTATTTTTTATATAAAGATAATATTATCAATAAATGATATGATGTATAATAAATGTTATAAGAATTTGGATTAAATGATGCTTGTTTATTAGGTTTTATACCTGTATATTTTTTATTACAAAATTAATGCCATTTGTATTAACATTACTTATGGATAGAAAAGTAATTAAAATACAATTATTAAAAAATAAAATAGGTTTAATGTTGTTTAATTATTGTTACTTATAATAATTGTTTAAATATTTTAGTAAATATAAATAAATGTAATTATTTATGAGCTAATTTATAAAAAAATAAAACAATATAAATCAGAATAAAATTTTAGACAATCACTTATGGATTTAATTGACGAACCACTACCAGGTCAGTTTGAATCTGTCCTACTTATGCAACCAGAAAATTTAATGTAAGTTAAATCTAATTTTATAATTATATCAAGTAGGGCATTAATAATAATTATATAATACATTATATAATAAGCTATTACTTACGAAACTATAATTTCAATTTACATACAATAGGCTCCCAAACAAAAACAACCCGACCGAAATTAATCAACAACAACATCAGGGTAATACTGAGATTATTAATGATCACTATAGATCACACGAGCCTCTAAAGGGTAAAACGCTGGTTTCTGTTAAATGAACATGATACTGTAATTATAAATAAATTTTTTAAGTGGACCACAGTTTAGGTTCGCACCCGGTGGCACGCCCTAGGTCGTACACGCCAAATGTTGATCGACATATTGTGGAGACAGACCAGCGCATGGAATTGCCCCCAAAGACTGTAATAGAAAGTGATAGACTGAATACCACTGTCAACCCCAATAACTGCAATAAACCAAATGAAACAATAAAGGTAATTAAAATATTGTTGTTGCGTAATAATTTATTACCGATATATTGTATTGCATAGTTTATAAATTATGTAAAATTTATCATGTTATTTCCCGTAACAGAAACAGAAAAATGAGATTACAATTGTATTATTAGGCGAGTCAGGTGTGGGAAAGTCGACATTTATTAACGCATTTGTGAACTATTTGTCGTTTGAAAGTCTGGATGCGGCAAATGGTCAGCCCATATGTTTAATTCCGGTTAGTTTTAGTCTGACTGACCCAAAGACACAAACACCTGTGAGGGTAGTATTGGGTGATCAGGATATGAATGAGAACAGCGATGACACGACTAAATCTGCCACACAATACCCGAAGTGCTATAAATTTGAAGATGATAATATTGTGCTCAATATAATCGATACGCCGGGAATTGCGGACACGGATGGCATAGATCAGGACAATAGAAATATGCAAAACATATTAGACTTCATAAGTAATTATAAGGAAATCAATGCCTTTTGTATACTTTTAAAGCCAAATGAAGCCAGACTTGATGTGCTGTTTAAATATTGTTTGTTTCAATTGTTCACTCAATTGAATAAAAGCGCCGCAAATAATATACTATTCCTATTCACAAACTCCCGGAGCACTGATTACATGCCCGGAGATTCCGGGCCCGCATTACTCAGTATTTTGGACCAAATCAGGGAAAATCCGCCAAATGTTGACATTTCTTATAATAGAAATACAGTCTATTGTTTCGATTCCGAGTCGTTTCGATATCTCGTGGCTTCGGTTCCGCCAAATAATATACAGTTTGAGCCGAGATTAAAGTCGACATATATTGAAAGTTGGGACCGGTATATAAAATAAATCAAATATTTTTAAAATATATATTAAACTTTTATATAATTTATATCAGATCTGTTAATGAATGCCAGCGACTATTAAACCACATAATACAACTGCCGGCACACAAAGTAATGGACACCCTATCACTCAATAACGCCAAACAAATGATACAATTACTAACCAAACCGTTAGCCGACATCACAAAGAATATCGCGGATAACGTAATGCAATGCGAATTACATAAACTTGGGGTTAAAAGGCAGACGCGGATCACTCCTAAACTACATATACCTACCGTTGAATTGCTTTACTTACCATTGGCTCAGCCAAAGACAGTTTGTGGTCACGACCAGTGCTGTAACACCACGGTCATTAATCACATATCTAAACCAAACTATCACACACCGTGCCATTCACCATGTTACCTTCACTATAACGATGGTAATATTCTCGGCAATAGGGCCTTACGACTATGCAAAGCTTTCAACAAATATAACACCAAAGATCATGATCCAAATAAAAGCAAGGTAAAACTGGGACTAGCTGGCGAAGTGTTTTCTAAAATAACAAGGTCAAATACGTGCCGCGCGTGTGGCCATAGTTATCAAGATCATCTAAATATTACTTACGAGCTCCAGGAGGTGCTCCGAGAAGTGCCCGACAATAATACGTGTGTAAAATCAATTGCATTGACCGAATCCGATGCCCCGGAGCGTGAAATCCAACGTCTGGACCAACGGATCGCTGAATTGAGTGCCGAAAGTGAGACAATCATTAACTCTATGGCATTGTTTGCCTGTTTTTTGGCCAACAATACGTTGACCGCCTGTCCGGACGCCTTTGACGACTACGTCCGGCACTTGATGTCGAGTCAACCGTACGGTACGGACCGCCACAGTCGGGCCATAATTGCGTGGTTTGAGCAGTTTTTGCATAATTACCGACATGCAAAATTGGCCATCGTAAATAATATGCCCTATGGTGTTGTGATTACCGTAGAACGTGTGGCACAGGTTGTTAGAAATCTGTCCATGATGAAACATAATGGACACCTATTTTGCAATATTCTAAGTCATGAACGTCAGACCAAAGTCAAATACCATGTGATTCACAACGAGATAGATTACAAGAATCAAACGCATAGAAGATTTAGCTTGGCTACATTTTTGGCAAAATTAAGTATGTAAAATATCCATATTTAATTTAATCTGAATCATATAAACTTAATTTTATATATGTTTCAGATCACCGATTAAGCACCTAAATTATTAAACATAATTGGACCATGGAATAAACTGTTGTAATTGTGTAATAAATTACATTTGAATTTGCATTCATGAATCATGAATCATGATGCATTAATGCATTGAATAACAATTTATTTTGTTTTATTTTTTAAAATATGATGAAATAATTAATAATATTGTGGATGTGCAATATATAAACGGTTTAATTACTAAATATAATTATTTATCTTTCATTTTAAATCAAAGCATAATATAACAACATTTTGTTATTTAAGAAAAATTAATTTATGTTTAAATTAGGGCTTGCATTATAATAGTCAAAAATTATTGATTAAAGTTTACACACGCCACAGTAAAATTTTAACGTTACAAACAATACAATTTAGATTTTTAAACATAT